CATTTTAAACCCTTCCCACACTCTTGCAATATTCTAAACGTTTCTAAACTCTAGACGCTCTGAAAGATCACAGGATGTCATAATTTCAGCTCCCTGCCTCCTCTACTCTCAGCCACCTGCAAGCGTTCTTGGCCACGCCCATGTCATGCGTTCTGCAGCGGATCAGCTGATCAGCTGCAGCAGGAAGTTTACCCTGCAGTATGAGCTGCACAAAGGCACAGGAGGAATCTTTTTCTCCAGCTTTGTGGGTTGCACAAAGGTGCAGCAGGTGCTAAAAACTTTAAAATAATTTATATATATAAAAAAAAAATTCCATGCTGATCATGCGGCTCATCCATCAATCTCACATTATGTGTAGTGTCCAGTCTTATTTTGAAAAACCTCAATAGTGAGTCTGCGATAAATGAATCACAAAATACAGTAGCAAGGGACTACTGTAAAGCGCTTTGAGTATCTTGGTAACATAGAAAGGTGCTATATCAGTGCAATCCATTTACCATTTACACTGTCACTCACACCTATAGGGACAATTTAGAGTTACCAGTCAGCCCAACATGTATGTTTTTGTTCTGTGGGAGGAATCCGGAGTACCCAGAGAAAACCCACGCATGCACAGACAGAACATGCAAACTCCACCCAAAAAGGTCCCGGGCTGGGATTTGAACCGGTGAAATTCTTGCTGAGAGGCAACAGCTGTACCAACTGAACCACTGTACTGCCTAATTTTACCATAATTTTTCTTTAAAGTTAGACTCTAAGCATTGATTAAAAACAACAACAACAACCAAAAATAAACTTACAAGTAGAGATTATGTAGGATGTCTATAGGCATGGTTGATTGTTTTATAATAAAACGTAGTAAATATCGACCCATTAAACAGTAATATGACATTGTTTTTTTATAGAACATTGTGAGGTTGTTTGAAGTACATCATAAGTGTACATCATAGGAGGAAAGGAATTTGTTGCCAGTTAAAATACCGTGTCCCATTTTTCCATCCTATTTTCCTGTCATCATTTGTGTCCACAGTCATTATTCTAACAAATTTTTCCACAAATAAAAAGCCTCTTACCTTCTGATCTAATTCAGATGTACAGAAGGACTTTTGGATCGCTACTTTTTCTTACTTCACAAACGTCGTCTTTCCTCTCATCTCATTGTCCCAGTTTAGTCAAACTGTTTCAGATGATATCAGAGATCACTCTCGCTGCTTACCAAGTCTATACTGCCATTTAGCTCATTGTTCCTACTTATTTATAGCATTTTTAACGAACATCAGAAAAAAGGGAAAGACGTGGAGCAAAAATAGTCCAAGATTTATCCTATCATTTAATAAACAAAGTGAATGGTTATTGATTTTTATTTTTCAAGGATGAGTTAGGCTCGTGTTGGCCTGTGCAGGAATATGTACACAGTTTCTCTTTATGTATTTGTGTGTACTGATTAAATGTATTCAGTGCACTAGTTTAGAAAGCTTTAGACACCATACTGTATGGGTAAGGTGTACGTTGACATTTTTCTTTTTCTCTTGTGTGAGTTTCGTGGATGCTAACAGTAGCTGCATTGTCCTGATTAGACGCGCAGCAGCATCGTCATCAGGGCCACTGTAATCACCACTGGGCAGGAGATGAAAGACACTATTGACAAGGAGCAAAGTGTCTGAGGGAAGAGAGGGAGAGGAATGCAATGAAAAGGAAGTGTAAGGAGCAGCACCAGAAATCAGAGACAAGAAGAGCTTGCAGACCAAAATGAGTTGTGAATCAAACCTTTGCCTTGTGCCTTACATTTATTTGTACATGGACTAATGCACCAATGCATAATGTACGGTGCGGTAATAGAAGATTAGTTTTTGTGCCATTTGTTTCATGGACGTTACTTCTCTGGTAAAGTGGTCAGTGGTCAAATTATTATTTATTTTATATTTTTATAGCACGGTGGTGCAGTTGGTATAGCTGCCACCTCTCAGCGAGAAGGTCACCGGCTCAAATCCCAGCCAGGGGTCTTTCTGGGTTGAGTTTGCATGTTCTCTCCGTGCACCCATGGGTTTTCTCCGAGTACTCTGGTTTTCTCCCACCGACCAAAAACATGCACGTTAGGCTGATTGGTAACTCTAAATTGTCCCTAGATGTGAGTGAGAGGTTGTTTGTCTCGTTTGTCTCTGTGTCCCTGCGATGAACTGGAGACCTGTCCAGGGTGTCCCCTGCCTCTCACACAGTGACTGCTGGATATGGTTACCAGTGACTCCGTGAACCAAAAAAGAAGAAACGGTTGAAGATAATGGATGGATGGATTTTCATCTCGCGTTGGTTGTATCAGAAATAAACGTGTTGGTTGTTTAGCATGTACATCAACCTTATTGCTCCTCTTCACTTTACCTGTGTGTTGCACGTTTAGGAACAACACCAGCTTTCCTTATTGTCTGACCAGATAAGTGGAAATTGAAAATAAATGACGGTTGTAATAGGAAATAGTTGGTCTATGTTCTTTTGTCCTAGTTTTCATAGCCATTTTTCCTTCCATCTCCACTGCCTTTTATAGTGAACTGGTACGAAGCGAAATGCCTTTCACTTTTACTCTCTCTCAATGTTTCGTTCTTTTATCTGGTTGTGCTAGGACCTCTTCCTCTCTTTATAAGCTGGTTATGTCCAATTCTCTGCTCTGTTGGTCCACATTGATCGTCAAAGCTCCTATGAAAAAATCTGCACATGCTGGATATCCCAAACATCGTAAACAATTCAGTGTTCACGAAACACTTTGAATTCTCTGTTTCTGTTTAACTTGATGCACACCTATAATAACATGCAGACGCACTGCATTTGAACAAATCACAAGACTTGTGGAGCTGTGCTCTTTGTATACATGAGACCAAAGTTTGTTTGACCTCAGTCCACCATGCTACATTTGGATAAAACTAAACACTTAAGTCAACCTCAAATGCCTCTTACCAACAGTCAACCATTTTGGTGGATGGCTGATAATGTTAGTTTGTTTTCTAGTCACAGGTTTGAGTAACTTGCAGTCATTAAGTCAACCGCACTGTCTTCTGTTTTCTGATGTATTCCAGAGTAAAATGCGAGGCCATCTGACCGTCAGTTAAAGCTTGAAATAAACTTCATCATGCAACAGGACAGTATAAAAAGTAAATCTACAACAGACTAATAATAATGATGTGAGGCAATAGGCCATACATATATGCAACTTTAGTTTGTGCTGATAACAACCTCCTTCATTTTTATTTATTTTTTCCCATTTTTTTTATCCATGTTTTTGTTTAGTTCATATTAAATAATCGCTGACACTTATAGTCATCTGAGGTTGCGTTTATCTCATCTGGTGAGAACCAGTTGTGTTTTAATGAACTGTTCTGTCTTTTGTAATTGTGTCCTAATAGTAAAACCTGGGATTTAAAAATTGTTGCACTTCACCATGACTGTGTGCATGTGCTCTCTTTCTTTTTTCAGTTCAATCCTTGAATACCCACGGACAATCAATACACGGAGGAGCAATGTTTAGCCCTGTCTTTTAAAAAGATGCACTCCACTGAGTGGTGCAAGCGAAGAATCAAAAAGTCAATAAAACAAGGCCCTCATTTGTTACTTTTTATCATTAATTTCAGCGTTCAGGTCCTTGTGTCCTGGGTGAATCATTGATGTCATCTTTCTGTTACAAATGAATCCTTGTCAGATCTCTGGACGTGCATAAGAAAAGTGCATGCATTAACTGAAATCTTTTTTCTTTTTCTTTCTGTCTCTCTCAGGACTGGTGGCAGATGAGACTGAGGACCAAGGGATGAGCTTATAACATTCAAAGTGGATAAAAAAGGAGGACAAACAAACTGAAGTGGAAGCTGATTACTTTGAAACTCAGTTGTTTGTATTGTTGTACCCTCCAGTCTTATGAGGACTGACTGACCCTTTCCTGGATTACACACTAAAAAACACACACCAACACCTGCTTGCTCACCCATCCCCTCCCCTCCCCTCACCACCATGTCCTCTCGCCTTAATCCACCCCTTCTCTTTCCCTTCCTTCTCCTCCTCCTCTCCAAGACTTCCACATCTACCACTCCTCCCTCCTCCTCCTTCCTCTCTTTCTCTCTACCTGAAGGAGGTCTTACACATTTAGTGGTGAACAACAAAACTGGAGACATCTATCTGGGCGCTGTCAACTGGATTTACAAGCTTTCCAGTGACCTCACAAAGTTGCGAAGCCATGTAACCGGTCCTGTCACAGACAACCCTCGATGTTACCCTCCCCCTGGTGTCCAGTCCTGCCCCCATGAGCTGGTGCAGACTTCTAATATCAATAAACTCTTGCTACTCGATGCTGCCCACAACCGCTTAATTGCATGTGGGAGTACCTCCCAGGGAATATGTCAATTCCTGCGTCTGGATGATTTATTTAAGCTCGGTGAGCCACACCATCGTAAAGAGCATTATCTATCCAGCGTGGCTGAGGCTGGCACCATGTCCGGTGTGGTGATCTCCCCAGATATTTTTGGTGGGGGTGGCAAACTCTTTGTTGGCACCCCAATCGATGGGAAATCAGAGTACTTCCCTACTCTGTCAAGCCGAAAGCTGATGTCTAACGAGGAGAATGCTGACATGTTCAGCTTTGTGTACCAGGATGAGTTTGTGTCATCTCAGCTGAAAATCCCCTCGGACACCCTATCCAAATTCCCTGCGTTTGACATCTACTATATCTACGGCTTCAACAGTGAGCAGTTTGTTTATTACCTCACCTTACAACTCGACACCCAACTCACCTCACCAGATGCGAGCAGTGAACAGTTCTTTACCTCTAAAATTGTCCGCCTTTGTGTCGACGATCCCAAGTTTTACTCTTACGTTGAATTCCCCATCGGCTGCACCAAGAATGGAGTGGAGTATCGTTTGGTTCAGGATGCTTTTTTGGCCCGTCCAGGAACCCGTCTGGCGCGTTCTCTTGGTGTTCGAGAGCACGAGGAGGTTCTGTTCACCGTGTTTGCCCAAGGTCAGAAGAACAGAGCCAAGCCGCCCAAGGAGTCAGCTTTGTGTTTGTTCACAATGAGGCAGATAAAGGAGAAGATTAAAGAGAGGATTCAGTCGTGCTACAAAGGAGAGGGAAAACTCTCCCTGCCCTGGCTGCTCAACAAGGAGCTCGGCTGCATCAACTCGGTGAGTGTTCGAGGCAGCATTTCCCAGAAGTGTCACTGTGATCAGAATTTAGATTGTGCACTCGTCTGAACATACACCGATTGTTCTAGAAATTTTTAGCGTGCGACTGCGTGTGAGACTTTCACAGTTAACACCACAGAACGTTTCAGAACACTGTTAAAGTTCAAGTGCAGTCTATTTTATCTAGAACTAGAAATAAATTATTCAGGGTTAGGTTTGTGTCGGCATGTTTCAAATGTGTAGTAGTTTGACAATAGTGATCAAGTTTTATTATTTTATTTGCCTAAACCAACCGTGTTGAAGACGTTTACAAGTTACAGTGCCTATAGAAAGTAAATGGACTGTATAACACCGTTCTATCTTATCAAGACACTTAAAACGCTTTACACTACAATCTATGTCCTCATTTATTCATTCATACAGCACTCTACATGATCTATACAAAGCTAACTGAACAAATCATTCTGAATAATCAGTGTTTTATTACATTCATACACCGATGGGACACATATCGGAGGCAATGAGGGGTTTAGTGTCTTGCCCAGGGACACTTCGGCATGTGACTGCTGGTGGATTTGAACCCCCAACTCTTGCATTGTACGATGACTGCTCTAACCACTCAGCCACATGCCCCCTTGGAGAATTATGCTGTTATTGCTGTCATAAATCAATCTCGGTCAATCTAACCTGATATTCTTACAAAATAAAAATGAATCGACGTCTAAGTGAAATAAGTTTACCACAGAGAGATACAAATTAAATAAAAATATGTATATTTTAAATTAAGCCAAAGCTGTACAAGTGTAGGTTCAAATGTACCTTGTGGTGTAATGCTTGTATTCAAACACAATACTGTGAGCAAATACACTTTACCCTGATCAGCGTAAGACAGATGTGGTATTTATTCTGGAAAAAAACAAATCGCATCTATTTGCATTAAAGTAGAATAAGTTCCAAATTTACACTTTTTTTATAGTCCATGTCTAATTACACGATTTATACAAAAAACAAAAAAAAAAAACCTTACCTCTTCTTTTAAAGCACAGAATAAATAAATAATAAAGTCACATGTGTTGCAGGAAGACAAACAAAAACACGAGTTATTTTTAGGATTGATAATTGTCTTTTTTTTATTTTAAGCCATAAATACATTATTTAGGTATAATTCCAACTACGAGTTGGCCTAAGGGTGTCTGAGAGACTCGGTGTGTGTATGTGTGTCACCTGACGTCACCCCAGATATAACACACACTCACAGCTCTCCATCGTCATGAATTATTCACCTGGTCTCACCCTGTTATTCACTCAGTGCACCGCAACAACCTGCCATAAATCTCTGGACGACTCTACACCTCTCTGCCTTCATTACCACTTTCTTCCTCTGCAGTTTAGTATATATATTTTTCCCCATGTATTTTACGTTATTTCCATCATTGCCAAAATGAATCGTTTTGTTTGTATCCCGATCCTGCAGGGCTTTTTAAAATTATTATTTTTTTCTATATTTACCATTTGTAAACTTAGTGGGTTCTAAAAAACACAGCGTGGATGACAGCATTATGATAAAAATAAGCCAGTGATTGGAAAGAAGGATGTGAGCACAACACTGATTTGAAGATGAAATTGGATGTGGGAAGAAACAGTGTCTAAATAAATTATGCTAATTTCGATACAAGCGTTGTAGTTGTCAGATGAGGTATTAAAATGTTTTTTTAAGCTTTAATACCTTTTTTTTTTGTTAGAGTTGCAATATTTTTGGTGAGCCTTTTGTAACATTTCATGTCACAAAATAACCAAGTATACAATGTTTATGGCAGTAATTATTGTACTGCAATAATTAGTACTTATCAGTTTGCTGACGACACTGGACTATAGTAAGAATTCCTGCCATTTATTAACTTGGTAGTGTTGTCATCCTGAAATGCTGCTGTCTATAAACAGCTATACAAGTCCCAGTGATGCTGAGGACTTGTAGAATAGCATTACTTTTGGATATTAACTTCCTAGTCATGGCCATGCCTTCCTCCAATTATTTTGAAAAACAAAAAAAAGACAAACACTAAAAGATTATCTTGAAGCACTTGAAGCCGTAAATTATTTGTGGGTATTGCCATTCTGTTGAGCAAGGAATGGCTAAACGTATTTCTTTTCTCAGTAGAAAAAAAAATAAAACAAAGTCTGTTCATGCGTAGCTGGACACAGTGTTGATTTGCAAGTAACCTAATAACATTTGGCATGTGATTACGTTGGCTCATGTAATTTGATTTTTAAAAGCTCCAAGACATTTGCAGTTACGCAAGCACAACGTGGCCTTGTACTTACAAGGTGTTCTGTATATGCATGAGATTATGCTAATGAGCGTACAGTCAAATGATTGTCCTTTATGGCCATCTGTCGCTCTGCCTGCAATCGATCAAGGTCAAGGTGGCCGAGCTTTCTGTGGGATGTCATCGTGATGGATTTATGATATCCTTGTACTGGCATGTTAAATGTTTCCTGACTACAGTGGTGACAGCTCGTTGCTTCTGCACTTAGTGTTATGTGGAAACTTGCTCATTGATTTGCTTTTCACAAGTCGTGGTCATTAAATAAACATTCAGACATTTTTGTTTACTATATATATATATATATATATATATATATATAATGGGTGTATTTGCTTGTATGAAGCTTTACAAATTGGTGACATTTTGTTTCTTTTCACATCTTGACCTGTTCGTTTGTATTTGATAATTTTACAAACCACACATTATTACTCTCTTGAATCATAATAAACTAGTTGTATGAGTGTTATAGCTGATAAAACAAATTATTGTTCCTGGTTAATAATCTCATCTAGAACCAACTTGGAAAAACTGCAATGGTTATGTTGACATTTATGATGCCGGTTACACATAAACATTTCTAATACTGCTGAGGTATTACACATGAAATAATACATAAAAAAGCTCTTACCAGGAGGGATAGAGAGGCACAGATAACACTGCATAAACTGGACATTTATTCTGAACATGGTGCAAAGCATTCAGATAGTGGTTCTGTAAATGCTTCGTAAAAGTTGGCGTTCACGTCCGACCTCTGATTGATACAGTCTATAGCATCAGCCGGTATTTACCTATCAGTTTATTACGTGATGAGTGTGGTTTGTCTGTTTACCCTTTTCGTTTTACCCCCTTCCTTTAAGTAAAACATAAACATAACAAAGTGAAGAAAGATTGAGATAGACGTTGAGATGATTATGGATTCAAGAACCAGTATGTACATGTGCAAAAACAATAGTCCCATTAAAATAATAAAAATGTACCTAAATTCACAGGTGCACAACAATAAATTCATAACTATATTTTAATACATATAGATCAAATAAATAATAATAAAAATATAAATTAAATGGCTTTCTTTGAAATAATGCATATCCCCTGGCACCTTGTATGTCAAAAGTTTTAAATACAGGAGTTGCAAGATTTGTTCAGGTTCAGAGGACGTTTTGGAGGAGTCTCAGCTACTACCAAACCAAAACGTAACTCTTCATCTTCTTTTGGCTGTTCCCTCTTCAGAGGTCACCACAGTGAGTCATCTCCCTCCATCTCACTCTGTCCTCTGCATCCTCTGTGCTCACTCCATACTTCCATGTCTCTCTAACTGCATCCATATATCTCTTCTTTGTCTTTTTCTTTGTTTCTTTGTCTTTGTCTGTCTTTTTTCCTGGCAGCTGCATTTCTAACATCCTTCTACCAAAATACCCACTGTTCCTCCTCTGAAAATGTCCAAACCATCTCAGTCTGGCCTCTCTAACTTTATCTCCCAGTTATTCAACCTGTACTTTACCTAACCTGTTGCACATTATTTCCAGCCTGAACCATCTGTCTTGACAATCGACAACTCGTGGTATGTCTTCTGCTTTGCCTTTGCTACCTCCCTCTTTGCTCTGTGATGTATTTCATTATATTCATACTCACTTCAGTCCAACAGCCATTTCCGTTCTATTTGGAAAAAACTACCACCGTCTGCTCTTCCTGGTTTCTTCTTTGACACCAAACCTACTCACCCCTTCCTCGTCTCCTCTGTTTCCTTCACCAACATGTCCATTCATGTCTGCTCCAATCATCACCCTTTCACCTCTTGGAATATTCTCTATCACTTCATCCAGATCCTTCCAAAATTTATATTTATCCTCTGTGCCACATCCAACATGTGGAACATAACAACTGGCAACATTTAGCCTCAGACCTTTGACTTCTACCTTCAGACATATCACCCCATGTGATTTTCACCTCTACTTCATTCTTTGCTAACTTCTCCTTCAGGACCACCCATACTCCATTTCTTTTTCTATCCACACCGTGGTAAAATAGTTTAAACCCCACTCCAATGCTGTGAGTCTTCCTGCCATTCCACTTGGTCTATTGGATGCATGCAACATCTACCTTCCTTCTTTGCATCATGTCAGCCAGCTCTCTACCTTTGCCTGTCCTTGCCTCCACATTTAGAGTTGCCACCTTCAGTCCTATAATTTTGACTTTCCTCTTATCCCTCTGTTCCCTGACACTTTCCCCTCCTTGTAGTCTTCAACTTATTTATTTATTTTTGTCTGTCTGTCCAGATACCCCACCCACACGCACACATGGTCATATACTTAATAATACCCAATGATATTCAAGACGGCAACCACAGCTAATCATCTTATCAAACACAAAAATGACTACTAATTATTTTTTTTACAGATGTTGAGTCTAGCCAAAATTTAACTCATTTGCTGTAAAAATGACTTAATAGCCATTGTTGTGTCCCACAAATTAAATCACATACACGGAAATAGAGTTAAAAAAAATCAATAAAGTCCGCTTGAACTTCAACTTTTGAGCAAAGATGCATTTCACATTAAACATGCACTGATAACACCTACATTTGTGATGCCAGTTTGTGATGACTGTCCCCAGTCCCAACCCCTATCCCACTTCCCCCCCCATCCCCTGGTTGTTGTCTGTAGGATGACAAGT